GCTGCCGATGCCGGCCGGGCGCAATACTTCCCCCCCGTAAAGCCCTCTGAGGCTCAAGGTGAAATCGATTCCAGACCAGAGTGGGCGTCCTGAACGGGTTTAAGTTCAAGCTAAATATGCTAACGGATAAGAATAGCTTAGAGACTGCAGGAACTCATTTTCACCCTTGTCGACTTCTTTTCATCCTGATGTGACGCAGCATGTGTTTATCTCCAGATAATGGGGGTCACTGATAGGACGGGGGGTTCTAAATTAAGTGTTTTTTCTGAGCTGTCACAAGAGGTCCTCCAACACTTCAACGGAATGGATTTGAACTTTGAAATAATCCTTGTTGATTTAAAATTGAGTTTAAAAATCTATTTTACACCAATAAACATAGCTGCATGCTTTTGTTTCCCTGAAACCACATCAGCGTTGTGATATTAAACTCCAAAATGAACTTTAATAAAGAAAACTTCTTTTGAGAGTGTATTCAGACTTTCATTAAAGCAATTAATTACACATTAATTTGTGAAATGGGGGAAGTAAACACTTCTCTTGCCTTTAGAGCTGTCAATTATTTTGATGTAGTTTCTGAAACTAGTTCTTTAATTACATTTTACTTTTCAATTTAAACTTTGCCAAAAACTAATATTGCCTGCATCTATAAACAAAAGATTTACTTCCAAATGTGTATTAATAAAATAAGTGACCTTGAGCTAAATTCAAATTTTCTGAATAATGTTTCAGAGATTTTCTTGTGCCCTCTCTCCTAAGACAACCACGACTGTTCTACTTTTAACCTCTAGGTGGCAGTGTTGATGCAATGACACGTCACACAGCTTTGCAGAGGAAGTCCTCATTACACCTCCTCCTCCTCTCAAACAGACCAAACATCTCCATACTTTAAGACATTTTTTAGATTTGCTCGTTGTACAGTATGTTACTGATTTAATATATGAAATGTGTTCTAATTAATGTAAATGTTCGTCCACCTTTCATACTGATGCACTGGAGATTTGCTTCCACTCTGTTGGACGAATAATAATATATATTATAATAAAAACTTTAAATCTTTATTTGTGAGGGGTTTATCCATCATTTTCTTCCTCTATATGCAGACTGAAATTGATGAATTAAATATGAATATTCTGCTTAATGTTATGGATAAATTTATTCTTTAAAGGAATGTAATTATCTAAAAAAAAAAAAAAAGAATAGTTGTTGAAATAAATATAGGATTTATATATTTTCAAAAGTGTGAGAAATTTTTAAAATAAAGATAAAATAACCGGAAAAGAGGCCGTCTTTATAATACACTGAGAACTTAAATTAAATAATAATATTACTTGCAACAATAGCTGCTATAATATCACCTTTTGAAATTTTAAAATGGGTGTTATTGAAGTATTATTATTTCAATACAATCGTAATTTTTTGGGGCAAAAAAACAACAAAAATTGTATTTGTTTACGTATATTAAATTAAAATCTGCCTTTTTTGTGACTAATTCTTAATTTATACTATAAAAAAATTAACCAAGATAATTGTAATGGGTTGTAAGATAATTATATATACACATTTCAAATAAACCTGCACATGCAGTCGTACATATGCAAAATACTCATAAAAAAACATTAGAATTATAAAACATGCAATATCAGGGCATGGTGCAAATTCTAATGATTTGCTGAAAACACATTAAAACATTAAAATGACAATATGGCTTTTTGTAAAGATGCTAACATGCTAAATATGTCCAAACAAACATGCAGCTATGCATTACTGCTGCTATGCATCTTTATTACCCAGCATGCAGCAGGTCAAAATAATGCCCTCACATCATGTAATTTAGTGATGAAGCTGATAAAGTGCTCGCTGCAATTTTTCAAGCATATCTGTGCCGAAATGTATTTCTCCTCGGTGCACCTTGTGTGCATTATTACGAGGTAATTTAACAGGGAATCTGCTGTGCTTATTACGAGGTTTGTTTTGTGTTCACTGTGGATTTCTTTGGCCGCTGTTATTGTACAAGAGGCTGTTTTGAATCTGCTGAACATTATAGGTACAGTACGTTACTGTATGTTTTGCTTTTGTTGCATTAAGGAGCCTCAGAAGAACAGGAGAGGATTTATACCACATTCAGACATCTCTGCTTTGCATTACACTCATTTTATTACCCTGCCGCCTTTATAACATAGCGTGGCAGAAAGATCTCTGTGGGCAATATTGGAGGCGTATTAATATCATTTCTTCAACATCTTTCACTTCTCTTCGGGCTGCACTCAATACTGACTCTATATGGAACTCATTATAGGAGAGGAAAGCTGTTCTCCCGGTGCCCCGCCGTTTTGTTCCATCTGTGTTGAAGTCACCTGAACACGATCTGAAGTCAGCCAGTCAAGTGACCTGGAATCAATACAGTCAAACCCAGCGGAGGCAAATAAATCAGCCCGGCTCGTTTAACCCATGAGAGTCCTGCTGCTTAGCTTCGACGTGGCACGTAACAAGAAAGGCATGTTTAATGACAAATAATTTATTCTGAATTCCCATTTCTCTTGCAGCTCTCCATACTTTTTATGCCCCCATAAGGCGTCCCCTCGTACTGTAAATCCTCCAGAGTGCATCTGAAGGCCAGTTTTATTTTATGTCCTCCCCCTCCATGTCCACCACTGTCTTTGTGCAAAAAACAGATTTTGTGTACATTGGAATTTTTCAGCATATTTTTCTCTCTGGGTATCTCTGTATCTCAAACAAAGCAGAAATATTTTGGCATATCTATAACTGCAGTCTGCAGCTGCTCCACTGTATCCCTATGGCATCTGTCTCTGAGGCCTGTCATATAAAAAACCAGGCTGTGTTTTATTCTTTACCCATCATAAGCCTGTGCTGAAAGATACCGAAAAGCTACTTGAGCAGGAAATCTGTTTTATATCTAGAGAATGTAAAAAAGAAAACATGGCTAAGGCTTAAAAGATGCACACTAAATGTTTGTGCTATTTAACGCCGATTTTGACTTAGAGGAAGTAGAAATGTAAAAGTTGAATGTCTTATGGCTCATACTGTGCATATTTATTGATTGTTGGAAAATGATTGCTAGCAAAGTTGCTGCCAGAATTTATCGTGCCAACTCCCTGCAAACACAGCTCCAATTTAAACAATTTCTGAAGATTAATTATGACATGACTCAAAGCACTTTGAGCCAACATCACATTAACTAATTATCATGATTCATGCACTGGAAAGAATGTTTTTTTTTTGCATCCTATAGAGGAAGTCACAATTCACTTCGCCTTCACTTCTTTGGCTCTGTCATTGAACAATATAAGTGCTATTCAAGTCAACCTCACTGACAACTATAGGCGAGTTTAATCACATGACACCGTCCTTAGTGGCGCATGAATGATGGTTAGCCGCTCGGAGATATGCTTGAAGTGAACTGAATATGGTTCTAAAGTTTCTCCTGCTTCACTGGACTATTTCAGATGAAGTTCATCATGAAGTAGTTTTCTGTATTCCAATGACGGCAATGGAAGAATAAATGCAGCCAGAGGCTATTAAATGCAAAGTCACTGTTAAATTTAAATATAATTTCCTGTTATGAGTAGACATCATCAGATACAAACCTATGTGGCCTGCATGTAAAGCTTGTTATTGTGTCTGGCAGTCATTAAATTGACCTTTCAATCCTTTTTAATCTCAATCAATGTTTTTGAAGTGTGTGGCGGCAAAGTCATCGACACAGACTTTTATTATCAATCATGGAATGAATTGTAAATCCTGCTCATATTTTCTGACCTCACTTTAATACCAGACTGCAGTCTTTAATCGTACTGTGGGAAAAAGAGTGTCATAGCCATGATCAAGTAATGGCCTTTATGAAATCATATTTTTTTTATCAATAGGTCACTTCAAGCTGCATGACTCATTGTGAATGTTTGAAAAGAAAGAAGAAAAGTTTTGATTTGTGAATGGAAGCCTCAACTTAACTTTTACTCTATATATTAGAAAAGGGCAATAAAATGGCTAACATTTTTTTTCATTGTGGCATGCTCTGTTTGCATACACAGCTGGCAGACAATGGCAATAATCTACATTACCATGCACATATAACATTGCCTAATTTTCACATGCAATATTGTATTTACTTGAATTGGGAGTTAAGGACTTAAAAAAACGAAATAAGTTTAACATGAGTTTAATTTAAAATAGCCTAGGCCAAAAGTTAAAAATGTAAATTATGGGAAAACACATAATAATAATGTTATCAACCAAATAGGAATAATTTCAGACAACATAAAAGCCCCAATGAGCAACATACATTCTGTTACATTTTTAATTGTTATATAAATGAAAGTTTACTATCTGTCTCTTTTGCAGTTTTGCATCACTTAAAAAAAGTCACATCATACGGCTTCGTGAAAGCCATTGTGGAAAAAAAAGTGATATGGTAACTCATAAAACTAGAAGAAAAAAAAAATAGGCAAAACGGGAAAAGAAAAAAGTTTGACTTACTTCAATTGTTCTTTCGTGTTCGTCACCTGTTACAGCGCCAAAACTTCATTAATGGCACACATGCGCACGTGTTACCTTCCCCTGATAAAAGCATATCCTGTATTTCCATTTGAACGGTGTGAGTGTGAGAATTAGTCGCCCGATCTTTTATAAATGCTGCACAAAGTCCCAAAACACTTAATTATCGCTAGGTAAGGTAGCGTGGACTGTCCTCTTCTGTGTGATTGACAGCGGGGTGAATTGACGTAGCTTTGGAGGGGGTGACGGATCCTTTTTAACGAGCGGCTGCGTTTATAATTAAAATCTGTTCAACCTCGTAACATAAATTACAACTACATAATTATGCTTGCTTTCTTATAAGACACTGACCGGGTTATTTTTGCGCCACAATGCGTAGCTGTCTTATTGTGGTGCTCGGTGCTCCCCTCTGTCTGTTGTTTTTTTGGTTTCGCCCAAACTTGGTTGAGATTTGAGTTGGTTTTCTCTGCTATCTGGGATCGCTCTGTTGGAGGTGAAGGACCGCCTGTCCCCACTCTGTATTTTGCTGTCAATGGCTTTCGGGACTTATTTTATTTGAATGTCTGGGCGATACAAGTGACCAATAATGGATATTCTATGGATATTATGGACCATACCGGCCGTAATAGCTGTTGAAGGTAAGATATAATGTTTTCATCCCAGTGGTTAGAGCCGCATCATTTTGCCGGCTTGGAGTTTGAGACAAAGCGCGTGCATGTACGTCACTGTATTCCATCCACAGGAGACTGACGCAAAACAAAAATAAATAAAAAACGCTTTTAATCTCCTTTAATATCAGGTTTTTGCTTTTTATTATGGCGTTAACGGTGCTTAAAATGCTCAAACAGCGGACAAGGGTTTGACGCTGGGACACACAAAAAAAAAAAACCACACGCACCCGCACCCGCATCTTCCGCAGGTACACTGGATGCTGTTCAGAGTTAATAGCTGTTAATTGCGGAATAAAAACGACGCCAGGTTGGAAACGTAACACCTTAGCAGGAGAGGTCACATCATGTGTGTCCGCGGAGGTGTGTCACCGGTGTCGTCTCAGTTAGTGGTAAAAAAAATGTGAAAGACAAGAGGAGCACGTCTCCCTACATGTAAATCCCCTTTCAGTATTTCTGAAGTACAATGCAGATAATTAGTTTGCTGTTTTTTTTTTTTTTTAAAGCCTCTTGTTTTATTCCCAAACAGACATTCATACACAAAGCTGGCTAAGCAGTATACGGCAGCCGGCAGCGTGGCCAAAGCAACAAGAACAGGTTGAATGGTGACAATAATCTCTCTTTTATGTGTTCACTATTAGCCCATGTCTGTTGTGCTCCAAAGTAGGCCTAACTGTATAGCTGTTTAACTAAAGGCTACTCATACAGTTACAAAAATCTTTAAAAAATTAGTACAAAATATCACATCTGACACTCAAAGTAGGTTTTGCTCATAATCTTTGCAAGTTATGAAAGCTATGTTCCATACTTTCTTTTAATTTGGGGTTTGCCATCCTGTAGGCTGCATAAATGATTAATTTGCAGATTTAATTTGGGCTCTGTTTGTCCCTGTTGACAGGATAGTGAACAGAGGCCACTGACCAATGGAAAAGTGTAATCCCAGTCATACATTATTCCGGCTATTTTGAGGATGTTGTCAGAAAACAAACATGTCTTCTTCCTCTGGTCAGTTTAACTAAACCTCATAATTACAGGTGGAGCAAAGGAAATATGTAGAAGCTCCACCGAATCTAACCACATGGATAAAACACCAACAAAGAAGAAAACAAGGGGAAAAGCTTAAGCAGCTTGTTTGCTGTGAAATTTGCGCATGTGTAAGTACAAGCACTTTAGCTTTGTAAAGGAGGAACAAACAGGACGAATGCTGTGCGTATTTATGCAGACTTCCGCTGAATATTCCTGTTTTTAATTCAGCCAAAAGTCATCATGAAGGCTTACCGTACATTACATTTGAAAAAATGGCCGCTTTAAAATATGTTCATTTTAAGTTTCATCCTCACTTGAAATTTCTTCCAAGATAACTATATTATTTTATGAAAGTACTTGTGACATCTATGTCACTAAAATCTCAGATTAAACAAAAATTTAGCACACACTCCCCCCCCAAAAAATTGTAAAATCTATTTAAAATCTATTTACTATTTTTCTATTCCCTGAAGCATTGTACAAGCATACAAAACCAAATTGTTATTTCATTGATAATACAGTGTTAATTATGCTGTAATATCACACTATAATTTTTAGTACAATAATTAATATGAATAAACGTTAATAAAAACACAAGATTTATGACCTTAAATGTGCACTATGAACAATTGGTCGCTTTGTATTATATTATATTGTATGTGCATGGTATTTAATCAGATTTATTTTATTTTCATCACTGATATCATGCGGCTTGTTTGCTATTATAATAGTTGTTTATTTTTTATTTTATCCTTGCTGTTTCGCCGAGAGCAAAGGAACCACAGGAGGTGAAAAAAAGCCAACAATAACACCAGATTCACACCGCACGCAGTGTTCCCCTTCCCGTTGTTGATCTGTTTCTCTCTAAAATGCAAACATGGCCATTGTTTGTGTTTGTCTACATTTACTGTGAGGCAAGCAGAGAGCATACAGGGCCTCAAATACTGATCGGCATGGTTCTTCAAAAAGAGGTATTTTGAAGAACATGTCTCACTCGATTAGGAAGGTGGGGTTGTGTTTTGTGTTACACTACAGTTACAGTATGCATGGTACGGTACTTCACCTTTCGGGTACTTTCGCTTTCTTTCCCTTTTGATTCGAAAAAACGAGCGAGTCCCAGCGCTAACCGAGAACAGCCCCCCCTCCATTTTACCCTGTGAATCACCCTAGTCGACCGTCCAATGAAGTTGCGAGGATGGCTTACGTATGAGAAATAAAGGGTTGAAAAAGAGGTCACTGCAGCTCTAATCCGACGGCAAAAAAAAAACCATCCCAGCATGCATCAGAAAAGAACCCTCCAGTGGATCGTTTTGACACGTTTAGTGCTGGGACACCACATTTCCTCTATTGTTGTTTTAGTTTAATACAAAGTGACATCTTCGCATAGCTCTGTTTTTCATTATAAGCACCGAAACGCTACTTGTGATTATTCTGTACTGCCGCGTTGTATAAAACGATGAGTCGCTGGAGTATTTTTGGGAACGGTTTGGTAAAAGAAAATGTTATTGTGTGTTATTCAGTGGCTCACCTATCTTTAAGAACCTAATTTCTGTTGAGGGCTACAAATAATCAATGAATCAGGCCGGGACCTTACTTGAGAGGATTAGAGGATTAAAACTTGGGCCAAAGTTAAGGAAATCCTTGCGTTGTCACACGCATCCTTTTTGCCAACACTGCCTGTACACAGTAAGCCTGAAACACTGTTATGGAGTGCTAATGTTTGGATTCCCCTCTTTATTCGATCTCCATTGAAACGACTGTGTTCCCCCTCTCGAGTCATATCCACATGTTGGGCGAATGGCGTTCATTAATTTGTGGCATTCCACCTTTTTTCCGAAGGCATTATTTACTCTGTGGAATGTGAAACAAGTCCAAATTGTTGATTAGCATTAATGTAAGCTGCCATTGATGCCACGTCTTATTGGTTTAGTTAACAGGAACAGACAGGCCCTTATTCGGAAATTAATGGAGGTACTACTGCCAAGGAAATTAGCTTAGCTATGTCAAACATGTCTATGAAAACACAGTGTGGATTTATCCCTTCATTAGTCCACCCATTCATTGTCATCAGCACTCAGTTGACAGCCATGCTAAGAACTGCGCTCATCTAATTCTGTTGAGTGGACATTTTCCAATTCATCTCCGGCCATAAAAAATGGAAGTAGCCTGTATTGTTCGTGGGAGATGAAATTTACTAGACGGATCATTTGGCTTTTCCGATTTCCCCCCCCTCCCCTCCCGCTCTTCTGTTGTGGCGTTACAGTTTGTGCTCGGCAAACGTTTTCTCGGCGATCGTCTGATTCAATAACAACCTCCTCCAGACTTGTGTACTAGTTGTTGTCGGGGTCAGCAGGATGATGAATCACTTTGATACAACATTTTTTTCCTCTTTTCAGGAAGCATAATGGGACAGAAACCACAGCAGAGGATGGTGAAGTGGGGTGGAATGAGATCACAGCATGGAGTCTTTAAAAAATGTCTCGCAGATTTGATTGCATTTCAATATGCACTGCATTCCTTCAGCTATGTACTGTACAGCACTGGAGCCCTTTCAGTTTGAAGTTGGCAAACACTGGCCATGCTGACGTTTTTTAATTTGACATTTTTCTATTTTGATTCAATTTATTCAATGACATACTACTTTTGTATTCTGCGTAACCCTTTCAGTTCTGTTTTTTTTTTTTTTTTTTTTTTTACCCTTTCAAACAATATAAGGAAGTCTTGACAATTCAGGACATACTGTCAACGTTTTGAAAATCCTGCCAAGTTTGGTAAAGTTGCTTTCATATGTAAATCCAGTTGCTGTTTTTGACCGGAATTGTTTTGTAAGGAATGGACATATTGAGTGTAACATGGAAGCATTATGTTTTGTGGAAGAGTAACAAAAGACAGACGGAGGCGGGCTCTGAAATGGGATTAGATAAAGGTAAAACGAGCGAGCGTATACAATCCAGTGTTTTCTCAGTCCACCCAATGAGCAGATGCAGGGAGCTGGGCCTGCACGCCAACCGCCACAGTAGGCTTTCACAAAGAATCTGTCTCTATTCAAGCCTTAATCCATGCTGCAGAGGGCCCGGGCATTGTCACTTTGCATGCAAAATTTCAATTAGTGCTGGTACCAGTTGTTTCACTTGAAGGGGGGTGTCACATTTCAGAGATATCTAGGGCTACCTTTAGGCTGAGATTAAGGCAGAAGTGTCATCGCCATGCTTAAGAAAAGTTGCATTGCGTAAGGTTACTGTCACTGAGCTGCAGTGCTTTATCACAGCCACTGAAATGCTCTAGACACCGACTGTGGTCCTGAGATCGGATTTAAATTGATCTAAGTTTTTGTCTCACTCGCTCTGCAAGCAAAATATTGTGTTTATGCTGAAGCCAGTTCAACCTATTTTACATGTTTTTAAATCAGGAAGGTAGGGTACTTTTCAAGGATTTTGACTGTCAGCCAATAGCACAAAAACAAAATGATGACCCCTGACTGCTTAGCTTACTCATAACATTGTAGGTGTTAATTATATGGGATTGACAGAAGAAAAAAAAAAGTATTCCCCTGGACAAAAAAATTGTACTTTACGTCAATGCTATTTTCTTTTAATGCATTGAGAATTAAACAGCTGCTTTTCTAGCTTTTTATGCCTTTATTGTAGAGAAAGAAAACAGTGGATTCTGAAATCTGGGAGAGAGAGAGAGAGAGAGAGAGAGAGAGAGAGAGAGAGAGAGAGAGTGGGGAATGACACGCAGCAAAGGAGCCACAGGATGGACTTGAACCCAGGCCGCCCGCCTCTGAGGACCACAGCCTCTGCACAGGGGGTGTGCAAACTAACCACTAGTCCACCGGCACCTCAAATAAAACAGTTTTCTATCATAGTGGGGCTGTCAGATGGTGAACAAGTGACAGTCAGCCTAATAACTATAAAAACGTATATCTTTATATTTAATGGGAG